TGGTGTATACGAACTACATACCTTGATGCTCTAAGAACAAATAATGAGTTGAAATGCATAAGAAACTATTTAAAAACATATCTAAAATGTTCCATATTTTTGTAAAACGAAGAAAATATTTTGAATTACCACGTCGACATATGAAAAACCATTTTCAAAATTTTCCATGTGTGGAGAACAAAATTCCTAGAATTGCCGTGGTCCTTTTCTAAAATTACCATGTGACTAGTACAAAAACTTTTTAAATTTTTTCCATGTGATGTTTATTTTAAATTATTCAAAAAGATTATGGCAAACATGCAAAAAAATCATGGTATACTCAATGAATTTGCCGTGAAATGTACAAATAAATGCAATGGTATGGACAAAGAAACTTCCATTATATAAAATTGCCATTGTTTATGAAAGTTGCCATGGTATACATAATGAATTTTCCAACGAATGTACAGATAAAATTATCATGGTATGGAAAATGAAATTCCCATGATAGAAAATTGCCATTGTTTGGAAAATTGCCATGGTTCAAACAAAAAGAATTTTGCTATTGTTAACAAAATTAAATTTGACATGGTCCTTAAAATAAACTTTCCATGATCAACAATTTTGTTGCAGCGGTCCAAAAAAGATCATGCCAAATTACAGAAAAATTGGCGTGTCAAAAAAGAAAGCAAAATACAAGAGCATGGAAAAATGCCATCATGTTGTATGACGGTGTAATACACCAGGGGTGGCCTCATGGTGAGGAGCCCAGCAGTAGGCCTGCCTTGGCACCCATGAAGCTTGACGGAGGACCAACTACAGGAAGGATCCCTAGAGTCTGAATAAGCATCAAGAGATCACCTTGGCATACAAAGGCAAGATGACGGCGGCCAGATTGGATCTATCTTGTGTAAAACCCTAGCCAACATCACGTATATAAGGTGTGGTTAGGGGCATCCATTCCTATCTACTCCTGTAAAACATACTCTCGGTAGTCATACTTCATCCCCTAGTTTAACCCTACACGAGATACTACACCATGAATACAAACTAGAAGGAGGACGTAGGGTGTTACCCCTACAAGCAGGCCTGAACCTAGGTAACTTCCTCGTGTGAACTCGGCTCTGACACTTCCAACCACGTTCGACCCCACCAAGGGTACTGACGATTCTTCGTGCTGTTATTGTACGTAAAACATGCAGAGCACCACTTGCCATGGTACATGGTAAATAAAATCAAGAATTTATGATCCATACGGCAAGGCAAGCTTAGAAAAACATGAATTTTGCGCATGCAATTTTAATGGTTGGTGATTAAAACAAAAATTTCTAAATATTGATGTGTCATTTGTCTAAACAATTGCCAAGTGAGTGTACAAAATTTTTGCCATCTGGCCCACATACAATTTTCTCCAAAAATGCCATGATTGAGTAACAGGAAAAAAAACTGAATTTCACCATACGATTCTTCAGAAATTTCCCGTGTTATTTTACAAAAAATGCCATGTTTTTTATACCAATTAATCTTACTTATGTCTTCGAACAGTGCTAACAAATTTAGAAGAATGGCATGTTTTTGGTCAATTTGATTGCTGTTGAAATAACAATTTTTTTTATTGCCGATTAGTAAGCTAGCCGACTAATTTTAGGGAAAAAAATAGCATCTCAAAGACAATTAGGGGTTGCTGCATTACAAAATTTTGCAACACAACAGAGAAAAACAACGGGAGCCAAAGCTAGAAGCAAGAAAACCTTTGCTGCAGCTGTTCGGGAGACGTCGACCACGGCAGGAAGAACTCGCCAAAAGACGACGGGAGGTGGAGCGTACATGCCCCTATGCATCAGGAAGAGAGCACGTCCCTGCGGACGCACTAGGAGCAGATGTACCTGGCGAACAGGAGCAGCAACAGGTCCACCATGATGTCCCGTTGAGCTTTGCCTCAATCGCAATGCTCCTCCCCGGTCCAAGCTCCAACTCCACCTACCTCAACCTCCTCCACCTCCACCACTTGCCCCCGCCATCCGCCTCTACCGCGCTTGTCATTAGGCGCCACAGACAGAGGTGGGCAACGAGATCGGCCTCACGCTACAGACGACCAAGGCGCTGTGCGAGCTCCACCACCGCCACAACTGCGTAGTCCCGACCACTATCATGGACGGAAATGAACTTGGTCTCTTGTAGAGAATTATGAAGAGTGCATACAAGTTAGTTAAGGCCTAAAGAAAAGCGGTTGCGGAAGGTTATAATAATTTGGGCGAAAGGCAACTGGAAACAAATGTGCGCAAGAAAGGTAAATGAGTAGCGGCGAGTAAAGTAAGGATGAAATCAACAGTTGGTCTATGGTGTTCTTAGGAAGTCCGAATTCCCCACCAGTATCTATCTAACATAACATATGTTATTGCATAGTTCTATGTTCGGATAATCAATCCTCTCTTTGATCGATGTTTATAGTGGGTGGAGCCTGATACAACATATGAACTACATGTGTAGTCTCTGTACCATGTATGCCACTGTCGTTCATCCCCACATTCAGCTTATGGCAATGATAATTAAGGGTCACCCCGTGGACGCAACCAATATATAGTCGGTTCTTCCTTACTCCCCCCATAAATTGCAAAAGAGCAAGATGAGAGGATATTATTGTTGCCTCTTCGCCTCCGCATCCTTACCTTTATGACAACAGTAATAAACTCCATGGCCATACAACAAAAATGCTGAGTGGGACCCCTTACACAACATTCATGAAGTTTATTAACTCAGACATGCAAATGGGGATTTCATTTCATATCGGTTTTCAGAACCTAAACATACTATAATGTTCCTCCATAGCCGAGAAATAGGCAATTACTCATACATGGAACGAAACAACATAATATGAATATTGGTAGTAACCATGGACGATAGATCAAAGTGATGCACACGATGATCCACTAGGGTTCGGTATTACAAAGAGATGGACATGGGGATGATGATGACGATGGTTGATGTCGAAGTGTCCTTGAGCGAGGTGATGGCGTGGCGGAGCCCTTCTTGTCAATTGCCCCTCCAAATATCTTTCGGAGGCTAGGGTTCTTTGTTTTGGACGGCTCCTCTGTAACTCGTATCTCTGATCC